CTCTCTCTCTCCTCTCTCTCTCTCTCTCTCTCTCTTCTCTCTTCTTCTCTCTCTCTCTTCTCTCTCTCTCTCTCTCTTCTTCTCTCTCTCTCTCTCTCTCTCTCTCTCTCTCTCTATATATATATATATATATATATAACAGTAAAAGTAACAGCAGGTCATTTGCTTATATAAGAGAGTGCTGCCACCGTTTTAGTAGTTATTTTTATTACAATCAAGTAGACCTACAAATGTGAACCCATCGGTCCTTTCGGCAATACTAAATAATGACTCATACCGAGTCACACGTAACTGCAATCAATGCCAGGTATTAATGTAAAAATATGTACATACTGCATTGGTTCGCTACATTATGATTATGCGTAACAAACTTAGACAATTTGCTCATTCGTCAATTGATGAACATACCAATGCGGCACTATCAGCTAATAGCCGTTTGGCATATAATACAGACGGCTCTAAATAAAGTCATTATAAAGTGTCTCTAATGTATGTGATACTGATAATTAGTAACATCAGTCAATTTCACAGTAAATGTTCTTACGCATTATAGATCAAGCAGGATTCAATTACATAGCTCTCAGCATAGTTGCCTGCACCTTTCCACCAGGTAACGGGCGTACCATCCAACCATACATACTGGTCTGTATCGATGTTTAATGTATTTCCGCCTATATAAAATAGAATATATATATATATATATATATATATATATATATATATATGAATATATATATATGAGACGGGAACTAACAAGCAAAAATATAACTGTAGCCTTACGTGTGTACGGTTATGCACGCGCCGAGAGCAGCGCTCGCGCACACACAGTGAAAATGTGTATTTTGAGTCTATGCATGCATGTACATGCACGCATGCGTGTATATGCGCCCATGTGTGATGCGCAGGTATGCGTGTATGCGCATGCATTTACGTACACGCTCGCGTGCACATGCATGTGGGGACGTGTGTGCATACAATCGTTTGCTTAGATTGTGTGTGCGCGGCCGCGCGTACGCGTGCGTGTCTGTGTACGTAATGAAAGGCAGGCGGTGTCCAAGGACCTTGAACGTCTGATATGCAGTTTCCCAACTTGTCCAAGCAACTTCCAAGCAACTGCAGCTCTCCCAAATCGCTCCAGTTTTACATGGATCTAAAAGATCGTGTAGTAATGATAATTATTATTACTGATGATCGAGCGGAAATGTTACCCCTTATTACTCGTTTTTATTATTCTAAGGACCTGAAACGCCAGAAGGTGTTTGGCACTGATCCTGACTATTGATTAAATGCTCGAAATGTTAACTTACTCGAAATCGGTGGTGTGATGCATTCCATCTCCTGCGTGCATAAAAGATAATCATATAATATTTCATATAAATCAATATAGTATTGTCAATGATTACATTTGATACGGTACACATTTACTTTTTTGGCAAAAACATGTAATTGGTACTGTTGCTGCGTTATCATTACTGCGTTATAATTATCTAACATTTCAGATAGTTAATAATTGCAACGCTTCTATTACGTGCCACTTTACAAACGATATATTATAATTTCAGATAAGTTTGGTTGTACACTTGGGAACTCCCTTCATATTTTTCCATCGATTGACAGAAATTTTACTATGAATGTTCTCATCTGACCCGCAAAGGTCAGCGTGGGGTTGAATGTTAAAATTCCCGTTAATTTTCATTTAAAAAAGACACAGTTACCCGTGATCGAAACCGTTTTCTTTGCAAAATCAAATACGTGATACTCGCAGGGGCGTGTACAAGATTTGTACCAGGGGGGGTCTAACCGTAACCCAAACTTGCGAGCACGCGAAGGGGGGGTATGGGGGGCCCTCCCCCAGAACATTTTTGAAATTAGACCCCCCTTAGATGCGTTTTCTGCGCGAGCAGGGGGGCGGTCCCCCCCCTCCCCCCATCCCCCCCCCGGGTCCCCCCACCCGTACACGCCCCTGACTCGGGTCGATATAAATAACGTCCGCGGGCAACCGGGTCCTCTCGCCTGCGTAATGCCTGCATGTAATCCGGCCAATACAGATACTTCGGAAGATAATCCTGGTAACTAACAATACACAGTGTATTGTATGTTTAGGCATTTGACAATACACTGTGTATTGTTAGAGAGCTTTCAACAATACACTGTGTAATACACCGTCCCTCCACGCCCGGGGGATAGCAACACCCGTTCTTGATTGACCTAGGAACAAAATCACGCCGCCCGCGTGATAGCATTTCCCGCTTGCTTTGACTGCATGCTGTACGTTTGCCGAGAAATACCTCGAGTGATACGTCGTGGTCTGTTTAGAGATCCACGCGAAGCTGCACTATTAGTAGAAACAATAAACTAATTATTTATTTATTTAT